CGCTATAGTTTCAAAACGTCAGAAAATATATTTTAGGAAAATGCCACAAATGCGAAAACGTTATCAAAGTTAACTACAATTAACTTGAGCGACGTGTGCAAGTTAATAGATAGTTCACGTAGGCAATAAAGAGACAATATTGCAAACTCACCACTTGTAATCAACAGACCCAACATGCAGGCAAGCGGTTAGTAAATCGAATGCAGCGTACCTACAAACGCTGCTCCGATTCTGCCTACATTCTCTGCAGGCCTCGTCGTCGCTTCGGTAGTGGTCCCGAGTTTCCTCGCTCATGGTTCACTAGGCCTGCCTGACTCAGGCACTCGCGACCGCATGTGTTACAGCACTATGCGCCCGATGTCGATGGAATACAACCCATCGGCGCCTGCCGCTCCCGCAACTGCCGCTTCTTCTCTGCATGCATGAGGTCTTTCTCATGCAACTCGGGAACTGCCTTCGTGATCAGATCGCGCCATGCACGGCGATCAACCGCTTTCGATTCCCATGACTTGCAATCAAGATGAGAACGTGAGATGCTCAATTTGATCATGTCCTGGTAACGATGCTTCGCTTTCCTCACATGTCCGCTTTCCAACACTCAGCTGACCATATAATAGTTTAAAGCAGTTAGTTTCCTCAACAATTTGGAAGGCACAGAAAGAAGACGAAGGCTGGTAGATGCATGCATTTCGTATTATCTCCTCAGCACCATTAGCAATAACCGATATGCATAAAAATAGCTCACAGTGTGTGCAATCAGACAAGGTTGAGGTGCAGAACGAATAACGGAAGTTCGCACCTACGTCCAAAGCATATTTAGGCTGACCAATAATTGTTCCTGAACACACAAGGCTGGATTAATCCGGCTTATAGCGACAGCACAGCTCTATCCGGTGACTCGAGTCTAATAGATGTTTGCCGGCGGTCCGCGCGAACATGGAATCTGACGAGGGTAAGCAATCTGAGGAATTTCACGTTGAACCCATTTTGGTACACCTTCCTTTATTCGGGAAGTTAGCGTTCTATTAGTTCTACCTATGTAACTGTTTCCGCAGTCACATACAAATTGGTATACACAATGTGAGTTAGCCCCAATAGGCTGAGTTTCCTTCGTTGGAGGTATGGGCAAATTTCGGGTTCAGTTGATGACAACAACTTGTACAGCGTAGTAAGTTCCTTGTGTAGCCGAAATTATACGCTTAGTTCTCTTCAGCGTGGCTAAATCACCTTTGAAAGTTAAATCGATATACACTTTCTCCTTGACTGCCATGTGCACCAAGTTCTTTGGCCCTCGCGGTTGGCTGTGTTTCTCGGTAAATCTTCGAGAGTTGCTGTTCGCCATTAGTGTTATGGAATTAACACTAGCTCATCGTCCAGACAGTCGGTCGAACATATTCGTCTGACACGACTAACTAGTCTTCACAAGTGTCCGTTTGTACCTCACTGGTGTGAAGCTGGTGAATTGCAGGTACCGACCGGGCCAAGTTGACTTTCGGTAAAAGGACCTCTTAATCAATCCAAGATTCCAGCGACATGAGTGCGTCCAGATATGGCAGACAATTGCTCTGTTCTACTTCGCATGTAACCCGTAAGTTAGCATGAACACCATTGAGCCGTTCTACCAAGTGTGTGAGCGCGCGTTGAAATCACTCAGCAGAAATAGTCGGTTTCTCCTCGGCACAGACCGCATCACAGAGAATAGCTGAGTGTAGCATTGATCACGCGTGTCATCGGACTAACACATGGTCGGGCTGTATGTGCTTATAAAAGTGACAAACTTACCTCTTCCGAGTCGTAGGCGAACAGAGATCAGTCGCGCACTGATGCCTGTTGGTTCACCCACCAGCTGGCCATGGAGGCGATCGGATATTGCAAATCCGACCCCATGGTCACGCGTTGCCCACCCAGTAGAATGTGTAGCCAGCACCTGCTTCATGCAACTTACCTTGCTCAGTGAGCCGAGTTTCACTGAGCGCCGCAATATCGATGCAGTAGCGCGCCAGTTCCATCTCGACCAGTGCAGTGGGTTGCTCGGGGCGTTCACTCCATTTCCGGTCCAGTAGTGTACGCACGTCCTAGCACCCGATGCTGAGTGCTTTGCACGCAGGCATGCGATTGCATTATTGGGCAATCACACGCGAGGTGGCGGTTGTGCTGTGGAGATTTGCTTGGGGGACTACATCCAGAGCCTTTGGCTCAATAGCCTGATCCACAAGGCAGTGGGGAGCACATCCAGCTCAGGAATGAGATTGCAGACACAGATTTGGATCTCCTTGACAGCAGTCACACACAGCTTTTGAGGTACTGGAACGATTTATATATGTTTTGCCACCGTATTAGGATACACCTGCGACCACGGCCAGACGCAGGTGGGTTTTGGCGGGTTTGCACCAATTTGACCAGGATCTGCCGGGCTTGAGGCGGGCAGTAGCAAACCATTGAACACTCGATGTGTCCTCCCACCGTCAGAGGCAATGCGTAGCGCTCGTGCTCTACCCCAATCGAGCTTATAACCCGTAGACCTGTTGTCTCCATGGCTGGGTTTTACGGGAAGAGGGCCAGCGACCACTTCCTAACCTCCGAAGAGGATGGACTAGGATACTGGCAGGGCGCCCACACCTGACAGGGGAACGACTCGGGTCCTCAGCCAAAGCCTTCGATTAAATGAACACCCGAAAGGCAGCGGGTCTAGCACATGGTCAGTTCACTGACTCATGCGGATTGGTGTCCTGGATCTTAGCAGCGAGAAGGGTATAACGCAACTCCTAGCCAGCGGTCGCTACGAGAAGGCGTCCAGGACATGAGCCAATGGCACAACAGTAGCGGCAGTGGGTAGACCATCTGTCAGGATCTAGCCACCACCAGTCTCAGCGCACCATAGGCTCTCCCGCCATATATATATATATATATATATATATATATATATATATATATATATATATATTGCATTCATGATGCTTCTTCACCGCAGTTGGGCTAAACCAACTTACACTTAAACTAGGTCTTTTTAATGTGGATAAAATTCATTACATGTTATTTGGTTTGTTCTGCGTACTTGATAATCTTCTCCTTACTTGCACACGTCGCTCACGCAAATTGTGGTAAACTTGCGTAATTTTATCGCGTGGTATTTTTTAACTAACTTTCGGATATTTTGTACTTATCACGGATTCACTTATAACCAATTTCTTCTATATGCTCATTTAACGAGTATTTATGTCGTCATATGCGTTTACTTTAATCGATATCGGCATTTCGAATGATTGGCTGTTGTTTGACATCCCAGGTGTGGCTGCGCTTGATGTGCATGTTGACAAGGTGCCTACCTATCTATTACCCACTACCTCGTCCATACTGGCTCCAGGAGACAGTTGGCCGTTGCTGGAGGGGACGGGGTGCACGGTCCTTGTGGTCGTGCTAGGCTCGAAGAGTGGTTCCATGCACTCAGTGTGGAGCGGACTACGGTCCAGCCACCGCCTTGTGTGTACTTGATTCCCCAAATACAGCGTGCTTGTGTTTGTCTGTGAAGGAGTGTGGGCCGGCTCCGTTGATGAAACGTGGCTCCCATCCGCATGCCTCCCGGTCTTATTCCTTCGGGTTTACACTGGATATGGGGTGTGTGGATGGAGCTGTGGGTGGTGCAGCGCAAGCCATCCATGGTCCCTCTGTAGGCGCAGGCGTCCTGTGGCTGGCCACAGTGGCAGGCAAACCCGAAACCGGATGCCGCCAACCATATATATATATATATATATATATATATATATATATATATATATATATATATATATATATATATATATATATATATATATATATCCAGTGTAAATCCGAAGGAATAAGACCGGGAGGCATGCGGATGGGAGCCACGTTTCACCAACGGAGCCGGCCCACACTCCTTCACAGGCAAACACAAGCACGCTGTATTTTGGGAATCAAGTACACACAAGGCGATGGCTGGACCGTAGTCCGCTCCACACTAAACGCATGGAACCACTCTTCGAGCCTAGCACGACCACAACGACCGTGCACCCCGTCCCCTCCAGCAACGACCAGCTGTCTCCTGGAGCCGGATGGACGAGGTAGTGGGTAATAGACAGGTAGGCACCTTGTCAACATGCACATTAAGCGCAGCCAGACCGGGGGATATCAAGCAGCAGCCAATCACTCAAAATGCCGATATCGAATAAAGTAAACGCATATGACGACATAAATACTCGCTAAATGAGCATATAGAAGAAATTAGTTATAGGTAAATCCGTGATAAGTACAAAATATCCGAGTTATTTGAAAAATACCACTGATACAAATACGCAATTTTACCACAACTTGCGTGAGCGACGTGTGCAAGTTAGGAGAAGATTATCAAGTACGCAGAACAAACCAAATAAAATGTAACGAATTTTATCCACATTAAAAAGGCCTAGTTTAAGTGTAAGTCGGTTTAGCCCAACTGCGGTGAAGTAGCATCATGAATGCAACATCAGCCTCAGCATGGGGCATATATATATATATATATATATATATATATATATATATATATATATATATATATATATATATATATATATATACGAACTGATAAAAGTTAGTTACCTAAAGAAGTCGTTTGTCCTAACTGCATGACTTCTGTTACGGCCTTCCCATTTACCGTCGGCCGTAGCCACAGAATTAGTACTAAATGAAAAATTCACGTGGAACAACGCTGGCACATCGGTAAATGACAAAAATCGGTGGCTTTTAATCTAGACGGGTGGAGGATGTGTGGCGCACCATACACGGCGTTCTTTGTCATACCAGCCATGTTTTTCTCGTCTGCATTTCGGTTATCCTCAGTGTAAGATACAAAAGTGGTCTTTTAAGTTCGTGTAAATAACCGGTTTTAGACTGAAACAAATTTTCATAATGTAAGCTCGCAGCCGGTCATATCGAGTCTTAGGGTCGCTGTCGTCACTTGAAACTCATCGCACTAATCACTCCCGTTTCTCATGGTTCCCTCACAGGCTCACATCCGGGAGGCTGAGTCTCGAATGCAGCTTGCCCAACACTATGGAACTCCTTACCCTCGTCTCACCAACTTTCCTCCCCATACACTGGCTGCTCAGGTCCATCGTAAAAGTACGAAACAAATACCTCATGACCAATCATCATCTGAGACGAATACGACTCATGTTTCCAAGCGGACAGAACGGAATTTGCGGGAAGCGATTCCCGCCTATCTCCGGTCGTATGTGGAGAAATCAAATAAAAAGCCTCACTAGTTTCAGACAGTAGAATACACTTTCACAATGTACACAAATATAAATAATAAGAGTAATATGTTCTCTTTTTTCGATGGAAGCAGCGATCTCACGGTATGAAGGTTACTCTAGGCTGTTGTGCATCCTTTCTCCTCGATCCAGAGCTCCTGAGGATCGGCCGCAAAAAAGCATGGGGTCCTTCGTCATATGACGCAATGACGCTCTCGCCTTTGATCTCCGGCTTTCATTTGTGCGTTTTCTATCTCTCTCTATATCTAGGGTCATTTCGACTGAACTGTTGTTTCACCTCCGTCTTTTGTTCCATGGCAACTCGAGATCGGTAAACTGACTACATTATATATCAGTTCTCGGTTCATGGTTGATCAACTGTGAAAGTCCAGTGAAGCTGATGCCATTCAATGTTGGATAAGATCTAATCGTGAGAACAGCGCATTTCGCTTCACCCGTGAGTACTCAACCACCGATGACAGTTGATAAAGATGCGTTAATATAATCAAATTGTTTGAATAGGATTTGTTAAGACATACGGTATAGGTAGAAATTCGTCACATCTAGACTCCCACGTCTGCCCTCGCCAAAGACACTTTCAAAAGCATCTTTCATCATCATCAGTTTCAGTAAGTGCGCCGCCTGTTCAGGTGTGTTAACGACGATGAATGTGTCGTCTACATACCGGCCATAAAGGTGTACATTTTGTAGGTAAGAAGGTAACACAGTGTTTTCCAAGTGGCCGAGGAAGATATCAGCCAAAACTGGGCCCAATGGGCTGCCCATGGCCACGCTGTCGATTTGTCGATACAGGGTTCCATTGAACCGGAACTGAATATCCTTTGTGCATAGGCGCAGTAATGATTTGAATGAATATGTGCCATCCAGCCATCAAGTTCACCATGGAAAACGAGTCCGACGGATCCTTCCACTTCTTAGAAGTTAACTTACAGAGAAAGCCAGATGGTACACTCGTCCGATCTGTGTACAGAAAAGCAATATGAACGGGGCAATATTTGAACTTTAATAGCTTTTGCCCAATGAACTATAAACGAGCTCTAGTACGTACCACTTTTGCTAGAGCTCGCCAAATTTGCTCATTAGACACAATCGAACAGGAACTAGAACGAGTCGCCTTGACGCTACAAGAGAATCCAGCGCGATTTATAACTCGGCACGCAAAAATACGATCCGGAGATAAATCACCAACCGATGTCCCAAAGAAAAAAGTATTCGTTACACTGCCCTTTTTAAGGAGATCAAGTTGACCGAAGATGCAGGCATCGCCTCCGTCAATCAATTAAGAAGTGTTACCATGCGGCTGAGCTAGTGGTATTGCACCAAGTCAGAAGGTTGCTCTGCAAATCCAACCTTGACAGACCAGACTCTCAAGTTACCGCCTCATGCATTTACCTCTTTAATTGTACTTGCGGTAGTAAGTACATAGGCCGAACTGAGAGAAGGCTGTCAGCGAGGATTGCAGAGCATGTTCCACGAAACATGATCGCTAAGGGTCCGAAGCTACCGACTGGCTCTATTGCCCGCCATATACTTGACTGCCCTGAATGCCAGAACCCACGTGGCAATTTCAGGGTAGTTAGCAAACAGGCTAATCCCCGTTTACTACAGTTTGCGGAGGCGGCAGCAATTCGGCGGCTGAAGCCAAATCTATGCAAGCAAACGGATTTTGTGACCACGCTAGCCCTACCCTGGTGAGGTTAGTGATTGCGTTTTCCTCGGAAAAGGTCACGTGAGCCTAAAGATCTTTGACCGCTTTGAATTTTTGCTGTTAACATCGCACTGTTTTCCACTCATTGTATGTAAACAGCTGAGGAGAATACGCGAAATTACTGAATTCAGTAAATTCTGTTATAGTGTTGTTTCTTCTTGTTTTATTGAATTTCCCGGAATCGTCAGCAGTGCGCATTCCATCGTATCCTGGTAGGGTTTGCACCGCAATTTGACTGTTGCCAGTCCGTGGTTGAGACCACTGACTTCGAGACCACTTATGGTACTTCTAAAAGCCGAGGGAACCTAACAAGGTCGTTTGTCCTACAAAATCTATATCAGTTAAACCGTAGTTACACATGTTGCTCTATGGATTTCATCGCGAGCAACTCAGTCCCAGTTAGTAAAGTTGGATGAGTCAGAAATAGCATTAGCATAACTGTTGCTGTGTTCAGGAAAATAACACTCAGGTGTTCAGGGCATCTCAATCTCAAATTCACCTCGACCAGTTGAACTTCGTTGGTCGTAGTATCAACTGGGTAGGGACACATTAATCTGCATCAGATGCGGCCAGAATGTAACTGAACTCGATGACACTCGCTTTGAAACGAATTGTAGTCAAGATTTAGGCTGTATGTGGAAACACACCCACACACAACGGGTACTCCAAAGCAGGCTGATAAGGGGTACGCAGTCTTGCAATCACATGGGGTTAGACCATTGCCCACCTAACTGCGTTTTATTGCGGAACAGTTTCATAATATAACTTTGGCTTCTAGCAAGATTATTAGACAGTAGGGGTTTTTATGGTGTATGAGGTTTAACACTGTCATGTTTAGGAAACCGCTTTACACTTTTAAAGTGCAATGTACAGTTGCAGGACTGGACTGACATGCCACCACCGGTTTTAGCTATCAGCTGGAAGTAGTGGAACGATTCACTTACCTTGGTGCCTGCGTCACTTCTGGTGATCAAATCAATGAGGAATTTCCTTCGCATGTCAATAAAGCCCATACTGCATTTCGGAGGTTCAGTCATATATGGAGACGGCAAAATATCAGTCCACGTGTGAGATGTAGGGTGTATAACGCTGCGGTAAGACCGGTCTTACTGTATGGATCACAAACCTGAGCAGTGTTCGCGGTGTAGACATTCAACGCTTGGCCGCGTTTGATCACTGGTGCTTGATCACATCTGGTGAGAACCTTGGGTGAGCGATGCCGAGGTCCGGCAGTTGGTGTTGAATAAGAAACTCTCTGGTACCAAACTGCAGTGTAGGTCAAAGTTTAACCACTTATGTTAGCTAGGTCATATTATCCGTATGCCTGTTGACCGGCTTATCCGACTTGAATTATAAGCCCTGACCACAACAAAATGGGCGAAGTCGCGAAGTGACCAGTCGATGGCGTGGCATAAAGATACTGATCGAGAGACTTAGCCAAATTAGTGCATGCCGCCTTGCTGGATGCAGCCCCGGAATGTCCACACCAGTGGTTCGACACTTTACTGAACATGGCGCAGTGGCGCTCCGCAACTCGGTGTCTCATATCTAGTTGTTAATCTACACTTAATACCGATTAGTTCTACTTATTTTCCTCAAGTTAATTTTCTTTACAGTCTATTTGCATTCCGCAACTTCTTGCCGTTGTTCTTTATGGTTATCCTGGCGACGTGAGCCGAGCAGCGGGATACACCTCATTTCACTGCCCGGATAATAGATGAAAAATCCTATTGACTGATCAACATTCGCTAAAAGCGAACGTACGATTTCGGTAATTCATCATCAGGCTTATACAATTACATAACAACCAAAGTTTGTTCATGGACCCGAGGGTGCCGCCATTCAGTCAATTTATAATATCCGTAGCTCGGGGTGTGGATGCGGATTTTGAGCGGTTCTCCTAGCTGAGTGATTATTGTGCAGACGTTTCGTTGCCTGACTAGGCAACATCATCAGTGCGGCTTCAGGGGCCTGGTTCGCAGTGCCTCGTAAGCGATTTCAATGCCCAAATGCTTATTGATCGAGTTCTGCTTTGAATGCCAGGCTTCAATGAACTCACGTGCTTGCCGGCAAGCACGTGGACAGGAAGCTTATCCTTGTGGTTTATTTTCACCATTGGGCTGCTGGTGAACTGGATCTGCATCTTCACCGTTGGGATGGCACATCTGAGTGTGTGTGGAAGACGGCGGGATAGAATCTCCGCCGCGATTTCCCCATTGTATGGTAACTGTAGGAAGATGGGCTTCCTTTCCACCGTCAGGACTGTTGGTGCCTCCCTCCTTCGCCCCACATTGGCTTTGATGAAACTTTCTGGATAGCCATTTTCGCTCAGTGTCGAACGTATGCAATTGAACTCGTCGAGAACGGTATCCTTTGAGCATATTCGTTCAGCTTAGCTCACCAGGCTACGTAACAGGTTTCGCTTGAGTTTAAGCGGTACAAAGATATGAAAGTTCGTGTACTCTCCGCTCCAGGTGCATTTTCTTTACACGCGACGTTGGATTACTCCAGCATTAAATCTTTTCAGGGCTGCGTCGAAGAAGTGAAAAGCGCCGTCGTCTTCTACTTCGTAAATGAATTGTATCGCCTCATGAGCCTGAATGAATTCGTTGGTGAGCTCCTCGATATTTCTAGAGGCGTGAAGTAGAATGAAGATATCATCTACGTAACGGTGGTACAGACAAAGGCTGCTGATGGTCGGTTTCAATCTACTCTGTTCCAACATACCCAAGAAGAAGTCGGCAAGGAATGGTCCAAGTGGCGAACCCATTGCAACCCCATCGCACTGCCAGCAAATATCTCCGTTGAATAGAAACTGAATATTACCAACTCTGCCATCGGCACGCATCTTGCGGTTACGGGTCACGCAACCAAGTCGGCTGATTCCCTCAGAATTATCTATCGAGCCCGAATATCGATCAAAGTACGAACCAAAGTTGTGCACCCAGAAAAGTCGCACTCAGGCATTAAATCTACTTGGCCTGGACGGACTGTGGTTGAACCTGGCGGCCGCGCTGAGTCCACAGCGGTCACCTGAACGACGTTGTTTGCCGCTGGATGATAGTATCAATGGACCGAATGGCGACCGTCCCTTGGGTCCATGAACAAACTTTGTTTGGTACGTAATTGTATAAGCCTGATGATGAATTACCGAAAACGTACGTTCCCTTATAACGACTGTTGATCAGTCAATGGGCTTTTTCAACTCAGTGAAATGGCGCGTAGACCCTCCTGGGTTGAAGTTGCTCAACAAGTATGTGAGCTTCAGAAGCAGGATCGCTTAGGCGGAGTTTCTTTGAAAGTGTATAGAAAGCAACGAGCTACTTGAAGTATCTTCGTGGTTCATGCATCAGGCCGGACGGAAAGTGCTTGAAACGTCTAGCGCTTTGTCAGATGGGTACCACACGTATTAAGAGGGATGAGCTGAAGCGTGCACTAAGCCAGGTGACTACTGTCCTGGAAGCGACCAGGTGGAGCTGGAGAAATTGATTAAGGAAATCATCACAAAACAAGAAGAAAAATTACGCACTTCGTTCATGAAAACAACAAAGGAAGAGAAACCTACAGCGACGTTCCCAGCCGAACCTGAGAAATTTGTCCGTAATCAGTCTTCCCTGCCGCTTGATAGTACAACCACTGAAGTCCTATCATCAGGTCCTAAGTTTATGTCTTCATACCAGAAAGGATAATAGGTTGGCAATAGAGGCACACTTCGAGAACCTGTACCCGCGGACCTCGCAATTAACATCAACATCTGAAGCGCATACGGAAGAGTTTAAATCTATACTGGTGCATGTCTGTTACCAATATCAGCGTGCTCAGGTAGCGCACAACACCTCGGTGAAGTATGAGCACATACAAGCCTGCTTAGAAATGAGATTTTGATTACTCGTCTAGATAAAGGCGCTGGTATTGTTAATCTAAACAGCGCAGACTACTTCAAGAAAATGGATGTTAGCAGATAAGACGACATTATGGAAGATGACGGGTGAGCGAAACGAAACAAAACAGATGGAAAATCGACTCTGCGACTGTCCCAGAAAGCTTAAGAATGGGGGTTATATCAGCGAATCGCTCTATGAACACCTACATCCCGTGGGCACGGTTATTCCAAGGCTCTACGGTCTTCCCAAAACGCACAAACCGAACTATCCTCTCCACCCAGTTTTGAACATGAGAAACTCTTCCTACCCCTCGATTCCTCGTTGATTGGTTGAGCCTGTTGGTAGACGTGTCACTGTACACGCTCTAAAGGACAGTTTTATTTGTCGATGTCGTGCGAGATGCTGATGTCACGAACCAAATCATATGCTCCCTCGAGGTAACATCGCTGCGACTTATAGCTATGTGGTCAATCTGTGACCAGCGCTTGCTTGATGATGGGGGGTGCCAAGTGGCGTACGGGCGTCCAGGATGATGAAAGTTGGTGCTGCAGAGGAATAGCTGATGACAGCACGCAGACTGAGCAGCCTCTCTCCGTTGGCTGATCGAACATCATCATATCTATGCGGTCTCCCGAGGTGACGCTCACATGGCACCAGACAACCGACACGCGCGTTGAAGTCTCTTGCTAAAACAATCATGTCTGTTTTAGGAGCCCTTAGGAGCAGCTCATGAAGGTTCTGGTAGAACTGGTCTTTGACTGTATCCGAACTAGTCAGTGGGCGCGTAGGCAGAGATCACGAAGAGAGCACGCTTTTCGACTCGACGTCTAACTTTACAATTGCCATGGAGCCTCATCGCACAAAGGCGACTATTGATCGAAATCCAGTCAATCAGAGCAGTCTCGGCTCTAGCACTGAGGACGATTCCAACAGCAGCTTGCCCATATGCGGCAGACTCGGCGTCACCAGAGACGGAGATGAAAGCAGGTGCGTGGGTGGAGCGGTGACGCCAGTCGGTAGACCGAGTTAGAGTCCTGAAATCGTTTTCCATTCAGTCAGCAGATATCAATTCCAAGGGTCTCTAGCGTGCGTGCAAGTCCAGCTTGCTGACCGATCTGCAGTAATGTGCGTGCTTTGAAGGCTGCATGTTTGAACCGCGTTTCGGGTTGCAGGAGCGAGGATGGGAGACTTTGGGACTGGCAGCTCTCTGTTGAGCCCTGTGTGGTTGAGTTGGCAGATGTCACGGGTACAGGTTCATCGGTGTAGGTGGGGTTGCTCGCCAAAGAGGAATCAGGTAAGATGGGTGTGAAGGTTACAAGGGAATAGTAGGTAAAATAGTGGCATGTGCCTGTGAAGTTGGCATAGTAGCATAAGCGAATAACATCCTAGAAGCAAGAGAGCATGTGAATGGTGGTAGTTGTAAGTTCATCTTCATCGGTAGGCGAGATACGAGGCCTAGGCCGATGTAGACAGTGTCGCTTAAACTCAAGCGAAACCTGATATGTAGCCTGGTGAACCGATCTGAACGAATCTGCTCAAAGGATACCATTCTCGACGAGCTAAAGTGCATACGTTCGACGCTGAGCGAAAATGGCTATCCAGAAAGTTTCATCAAGGCCAATATGGGGCGAAGGAGGGAGGCACCAACAGTCCTGACGGTGGAAAGGAAGCCCATCTTCCTACAGTTACCATACAATGGGGAAATCGCGGCGGAGATTCTATCCCGTCGTCTTCCACACACACTCAGGCGTGCCTTCCCAACAGCGAAGATGCAGATCCAGTTCACCAGCAGCCCAATGGTGAGAATAAACCACAAGGATAAGCTTCCTGTCCACGCCAATTCAATGTGTATTTACTCATTCTCTTGTTCTTGTGGAGCAGGATACATTGGTCGTACGACAAGACGCTTACCCGACAGGATGAAGAAGCACCATCCGGTCTGGCTGGGAACTGGAGGTCGCAAAATTACCTACTCTGCCATCTCCACGCATCTTGCGGACACGGGTCACGCCACCAAGTCGGTTGATTCCTTCAGTATCCTTCAATATCGAGCAAAGTACGTCCGTAAGCGGATATTATGTGCCGCAGAAGCCATTGCACTTCGGCTGTACGAACCACAGTTGTGCACTCGGAAAAGGCTCAATCAGGCATTAAATCTTACTTGGCCTGGACAGACTGTGGCTAAACCGTGCGAGCGCGCTGAGTCCACAGCGGTCACCTGACCGACGTTGCTTGCCGCTGGATGATAGTATAAACCGACTGGATGGCAACCCCCTCGGGTCCATGAACAAACTTTGGTTGTTATGTAATTGTATAAGCCTGAATATGAATTACCGAAAATGCGCGTTCGCTTATAGCGACTGCGGACCATAGCTGTTCGACTAAACTGAACCGTACTCAGGCAACCACCGTAGATCCGAAAAGGCACAGACGGCCGTTTCATTTTACTGGGACTTTTCAGTAGTGCATATCTACAATATCAACTCCACGAGCTCACTATTGTGTGCAAGCGAATCAAGCCACTGAACTATCTGTGATCGCAGCCATAACTAACTGCAACATATTGCGACCCTTCTCCAACTGCCATGTATGTTATGAATGTGCATAAAACAGGGTTGGCCCCCAATTAGGACTGTTTTTGCAAGTTACAAGCAATCGAGATGATATCTAAGTCTCTAAGGGAAAGATTCATTATCGGAGTAATAATTGGGCCTTTATCATTTTGAGAACGTTCATCGCAATTAGACGGACGATCATCGTTTTTCCGGATGTGCAGTCAGCTGTATGACTAAGTCTTGCGGCAATATATATTCGATTCGTTTTCCAAGCTGTTAGAAACGAGGTTTCATGACGCGGACGCTGTTCGATGGTGAAATAGTTCGCGGCGTGAACAGGGTCATAAGTAGCAAATACGACGGGAATCAAATTGCACCAATATATGACTCATCCTTACTCACAGGCTGTGAAGAAACCACACCTCCGAGGTTTCATAGCCGCCAATTCCAAATAAGTGATCTCAGTTTGATGCTATGAATATATTTGGGAGTGTGTGCTGGTATAGGTTGTGTGAAGTAGTGCCTAATCGGTAGCTGCGTCAAAGAAGCATATCGGCAAAGTAATCGTCAAACTCCTCATCCTGAGTCTTTTGCCCACCACTGTCCGCGGACTTCGTAACCCGCCAGATGTTTTCTTGATCAAGGTTCGCTTCTAAGGAGAGGGATTTGGCAATTTTGCTCGCCGGCTCAGTGGAATCCTCAGCCGACTCCTGGGTTGCTTCTGTGTTTGCTGTGGCGTCGGATGCGCTGAAATCCGTCACTCGTTGTCCCGTTACCTCACGCCGTCTGCAAACATATCAAGGAGTAAAGGAAGAACGCATCAATAATATACTCATCCAATTTTATGACACACAAAGACAAAAATGAGCGGTGGCCAACCAACCCTAAAGCCAAGGAACAGCTGCCCACGGTTTTATACAGCGTCATTTCGATAGCGGAGGTAACGGTAAGTGTAAGTCCGGTTACCAACATCGTTTCAACTATTACGGGTCTTAGGAGCACAGTACTCTATACAGTTACCGATAACCTTTTAAGCCCTGAGTGTCCCATAAATCTCACCTGTGTCGGTAGTTTAGTTTATCAGAGCATTCCGGACACAGCCGCAGTTTGACCAAAGCATTCCGACGCTCCCCACGCTCTTTGTAGGCGAAGTTCACTTCCCAACTGCGTAATCGACTGTCCGAGCCGGCGGAACATTTGACGTTGCCACAAGTAAACTGACCTACGTGTAGGATGGAAGAGAGCATGGCAAAGTGAAGGCAGGGCGGATGCATGGTCATGTATTGTGCAGCTTCGAACCAGGATTAATACAAGGACAATTATTTTCATGGTGTAGTGAGGGAGGAATTTGGATTAAATTTCGAAGGAGACCCGTTACAGCCACACTCGGTAATGTAGTTAATAGATACCCACAACAATACTCGGCTACCATTTCTTCCTTTAGGGAACCGCTAGCAGCGCGTGACTCTGTTCATACGAATACATGGTTAAGATCACCAGGAACAGAGGAGGATAAGAGACACAACCGCTGTGACCACGTAACTAGTTGTGTGATTGAGCACAATACTCGTCCGCTAGTACTTCACAGGTTTCCGACGTGCAGAAGCCAACGTTAGCCCCTCAGACGCAACCTCGGCTGCCGAGCCATCGTAGTCCGATGGCATTATAAGCTAGTTTGAGCAATTACTAGTTTTTAGAGTATTGACAGGCTGGGTTTGGACAAATTCCGGAAGAGATTCGTCACAGCTACAACACCTTGCATGGAACTAAACGCAACGAGAGCAAGTCATGATAGCCGTCGGCGCCCACTTATCAGGCTGTCCTCCTTGAGTGACTCGTAAACGTGCGTCATCAGCATCACCAATAAACCTTAGCTGAGGGCGATAGACACACCTCAGCTACTGTGCCACAGTACAAAAAGACAACATATTTTATATTACAGGATACTAAAGTTAGAAAAACAAGTAATACAATGTATGGAGCGTGGTGTCGTGGTTGGAATGGAAAGCTAAGCGGGAGGAAGTAGGACAGAGAAGCTCACAACACAAACGCCACTGTGGTCGGCTCTTTGCCATGGCAACAGGTATATCCAACCAAACGTGTTCACCGTGCTTGAGACCCCAACCCTGCAGTCGGAATGCACTGACCGACGCCGAGTTCGAAGTGAGAGCCTTCATTGCTTTAGACCAGGGGGTTCCCAACCTGGGGGTAAGTACCCCCAAAGGGGTAAAATGGCATTTTACGGGAGGTGAATATTGGTACGAGAATTGGGAGTTCAGTCAGTCGCAAAACAAATTCATCTGTAGCAAAACATGTCGCTAACTACCTATGCACTTTTGATTAGCCATCAGTGACCAGTCATTAGTCACTGCAACTAGATGACGCTTCTATCGGCTTCCACGTCTATCGTTGTTCTTTTCAGTTAGGCAGTCGTTCACCGGGTCGAATTATGGATTCGATTGTGAACTAGTATTGGAACATCAATCAAACGACCAGGTAAGGTAGCGCGCGATTGTTTACAAGTTAGAAGAGCCAAAAAGGGCGATTAGTGTTCGCGACGTATCGATACGGAGTGGTGATGGGAAGCTATTATGCAGGAATGACTTGGAAGGGAGGAACGCAACACGTGAGAAAACACTGATCAGGAATCATACACGAAAAGGTTATGTGCCTTGAATAAAGAGAACAGTAGGAGTTTGAAAGTGCACTGAAACACTGCGTTTGGGGTCACAACTAAGGCAGGAACAGCAGATGGGACGGATTCGTGTTGGGTTGATCACATCCATCTACAGTCGTTTTTGACAAAAAGCCATAGCAAATGAGTGATTTAATATCGATAATAAAGAGTTAATTTGCAGACGTTTATGACAATGTCACTTACATTAAATCACGAAAATATCCACATATATATGTAACACATAGCTACCTAATTTTTTGCAGGAACCACGTCGTCTGGACAAAGCGATCCTACAAAGAAGTTTTCTCTGCAATGGGGCTTCAACAACTATGTCGAGAAAAATGTTAAGAAGCCGCAGTGCATTTTGTGCAGCAAAGTGCTTACGGCGGAGAGCACGAAACCTAGCAAATTGAAAAACAACTTCCCACGAAGTCCCTCTTAGTTAGTATGAAAATATATTACATTATTCAAACGGAAAGAGGTTGCGCTAAAAATTTCGCGCCTGGATACATCGGGCTCCTTTTTCCAGCCAACTGAAGCTGGTCTTGAAGCTTCGTACTGCACTGCTCTACGAATCGCCAAAAACAAGAAACCGCATACCATAGGAGAGGATTTCGTCAAACCTTGCACAATGGATGCCGTGAAGCTCGTTCTTGAAGAGCAACATGCGAAGATATCACTTTCTAACAACACCATCAAAAGTCGTATCGAGGACATGAGCAAGAATATTTTGAACACGGTGCTCAACGAAATGAAGTCAAGTCCTTTCTTCGCAATACAGTTAGATGAGTCGATCGACGTCGCATCTTGTTCCCAGCTACTTGTCTATGTTCGGTACATAAAAGGCGACGGCTTCAAAGAAGAGTACTTGTTCTCAGAATCACCGAGCAAAACAACACGTGGCGAAGATGTGTTCCGAACAGTGAAGGAATTCGTCGAGGAAAAGGATCTACAGTGGTCGAAGTTGGTGGGTGTCTGTACAGACGTAGCACCATCCATGTTGGGCGTCCGTTCTAGATTTCAAACAATAGTCAAAAAATTTACTTTGCGCGCTACTTTTAGCCACCGCAACAAGCATTGTTATGCTTTAAGCAGTGAAAACTCTTTCACCTGCTTTACTAGAAGCACTAACTAAGGTAATGAAAATAGTAAACGTCGTCCGCGATAATGTGTGCGGTAGTGTGCAATCAATTTGGAGGCAAATTTGACCAGCTTTTATTGCACACAGAAATGATTTTGTTGTCAAGAGGCAGGGTGTCGCGCAGAGTGCTCGAGGTTGGAGAAGAAACTGCAATGTTCCTCGAATGGAAAGAGCTGCATAAGGGTTAGGGGAACGGGATACACATCATGATAACGGACAACGTATTTATTTCCAAAGTAGCATATCTTGCGTACGTTTTCGGAGAAATAAACGCGCTGAACCTCAGCTTGCAAGGAAATTTGATTAATATGTTAACTGCTCAGGATAGGGTTGCCAGTTTTCTTCGCAAATTAGAGCTTTACCAAAGCAGAGCTACGGTTGACGACGTGTCGATGTTTCAGAGCTAAAAATGGTGGTAGTTGAAAGAAATGAAAAATGCACATCCGCAGATGATATAACTTGCCAGTTGTCATTAATGGTGCGTTCTATCAGCAAATATTTTTCTGATTTAGAAAGTCGCCAAGTAAATTCGTGGGCGTTAAGACCCTTTTCAGTGGATAAAGACTTGATTCCAGATACTGAAATCAAAGTCAAAGCATAATTCCTAGGAATGCGCGAAAATAGCGCGAATTGAAAATAGATTTCAAGAGCACACAACTAGTAGCATTTTGGGCAAAGACAGGTGATGATTATCCATTGCTATCCGAAAGAGCATTGAGAATATTGACTCCATTCGCACCAACTTATAGATGTGAAAGTGGATTTTTGACAGTGGTGACAATGAAAACAAAAGCAGAATCGAATGAATGTTGAGCACGACTTACAATGTGCATTAGCCGAAAGGTTAAGAACCGCTAGTGTACAGCAACATGCGGAAAACATAAGTGTGATATCGTCAAAGTCGCATCCAGGACATCAGCAAGAATACTTTAGACGCGTTAGTTAATGAAAAGAAGTCATGCTTTTCTCCGCACTACACTCAAATGAGCGGACTGACGTTACGTCTTGTTCCAAGCTATTTGTTTATGTTCAGTGCATAAAAAGGCGACGGCTTCAAAGAAAAGTGCTTGTTCTTGCGATGTGGATTAGCTGAAATCGCACCAAATACGCCAGAAACTGTTTATTCATCACCTCGATTTACTGAAAAATTACTCAGAAATGGGAGTCTTCTTTATAAGCATTATCGAAAGTAATTACACATAATATTCAATTTCCGTGCTTTAAAAGCAAAAAGTGCAATAGTTATTAATTAATTGGCTTTTGGGGAGTAGCTGCTTATGATGAACCCGCTTTGTGGGTAAGGGCCTCAAAATGGTTGGGAACCACTGCTCTAGACTAATCCATCACTTGGCCTACTCTCCTTCCATCTACACTCCGGTAGCGCAAACGGCGTACATCGCGAGAGTCGGTGTGCTGGCATGCGTAATACGTTGCCCAGCCACAGGAGCCTGCCTAGTGTGGGATATGACGGTGCTGAGCGGTTCACTGGCTCCTGCATACGCTCGATGTTCCCACCAGATATGAAGTAAACTGCGGTGGCGATTGTTGTACGTTACTATCCTCTTTGCTTCTTGATTTGATGGACCAGGTTTCACATCGTAAAGTACAGTCCAGCACATCCGGCTACTGACTAGGATTTAGTCTACCAGAGCAGCTTCAGCGCAGGAGCTAGGAACAATACTCACACCGATTTGACCGACATTCGAAACTGCAGTGAGAAAGTAGTGCCAGTGTGACATGAACTCGATTGTAGAGAGAGAGCAAAAATCTGGAGTCTTGCAGGCAAGTTTTCTATGAACAACCAGCGGTATGCCATAACGGCGATTGTCTGCCACGCGACCACCGCTAGTCGCGCGCGGGCTGACTATAACGCGATGCCAGTTGTTGTTGTGGAGTTTTCCGAGCTGGGCAACTTGATTGCAAACGTTTCCATTATTGGGTTTGCTTTCTACCAGCTCCTACTACCTGACTGCTACAAATCCTGCACTGAGGATGCCACCACGAATGGTGGTGAAAGCTTTGCAATCAAGTTGCCCAGCTCGGAGAACTCCACAACAACTGAACAAGCCTCCCGAGCTACCAATATTCCAAATGATTTCAATAACGCGAGGACGCCTACTCATACGCAGATTCGAACCTGCGACCTTACTGTCGCAAACCAGGCGCGGAGACCACTCAACCACCGGCATATGAACAGCAAATATCGATTGATATGGTCACTGGTGTTCGAGTAAGTGCTGCCTGTTGGTCAATCTGTAACAAAATGTGCACGTTGAAGCATGCTAGTCTCAGAGAGGATCAAGGGCTCTAAATAGAAGCGAATGAACTGACGTTGTCCGTTTGGCTGGACATGGACTTATCGACTGGGCCTGGGCGACGTCCTGCGATTGCGACTGAGTTGGAACTAGAAAACGAGCGACTGTTGAAGTAAGACGGGGGAGGGCAAAGAATTGAGAGATTGAAAACAGAGACGATAAAAGTGAAGTTGGAGTGGGATGATAAGGGTGAAAAAGCGTAAGAGGGGGAATAAGAAGACGGGATGGTCTGAGTGGTAGCATTCGCAATCCTATCCACTGTGCTCAAAGCAACAGATAGAGCGTCGTTGATTATCCTCTGCATCAAGAAATCGTTCGAAATGTTTTCATGGGGTTGCGTGGATAGGACACTGTCAAGCTGCCCATGCCTAGAGAGAAGTATGCTTAGGGTTCGCAATCAAAGCACTTGGTTCAGAAACCTAATCGCAAAGTAGCGGGAGTTGGTCAACAAACTACGGTGAGTCCGTTATAAAGAGATTAGATAAGGAGGACAAATACAATACACATCGTTTTGTTATTTCTCGCGCATGTTCATCAACAGCCCCCAGGAGTGTAACTCATTAAGTTCTCAAGGCAAATGATCATGTCGTGTGGAAATAATATGACGGAGTGGTGAAAGGAAAAGTGGATTCAGTGGGAGGTGCGTCAACACCAACGGCTTTCTAAAGATAATGTGCTGGATCTGAACGATAGTGACGCAACATATCAACCTGAATGCGGTCAGGATTATTCTGACTGGGGTGGAGCATGTTGCTTGTTATCACAAAGAGTGCACATACACAGACTTACCTTTACCAGCGATGACTTCCCGTTCTAGACGCCAGCGCATACCGAACTGGAGTTAGAAACGGAAGAAAACGGTGTACGAAAACGCTACAAGTCAACGGAGAGAGAGGCCTCGTCTAAAAGAGGAAAACGTAGCCCTAGGGACCACCTGTCAGACTGATCAATCCGAGCCAGGGGAATGAACGCAATTAAAGAAGGGGAGTGACTGTTGGGTGGTAGTAGAAGTGTGCACAGGTCCGAGAGGCAGGCTCATGGTCCGCACGCGAACCAAACTAGCACCGCCCGGTCGGCAAAGGTAAAGGACAGATCGTTGGCAAAACCCAATAACAGGCGAGGTAAGTAAGCTTAATAAATAATAAATGTGTCAGCTTATACGCCGTAACGGCGCTTCGCTGCCGTGCGACCACCACCAGTCGCGCGCGGGCTGAGTATACCGCGAGGACGCCCACCCCTACGCGGATTCGAACCGGTGACCTTATGGTTGGAAAGCAAACGTGCCGACCACTCGGCCACCGGCCGAGTGACTTGATGGTCAGAAGAAATTCGAACGAACGGTAGAGTAAATTCTCTGCATGGTACACTTCCGCATCATCGGTTTCCTAGTGTTTCTCACTGAACATGTTCTATAGCGGGCAAGGAGAGTTGGTATTGAGATGGTCATAACCAGCTCTAGCGAGACAACCACCACGCATTTGTAAGTATTGGGTGAACGGACTGGCCATTCTTTCCGAATCGTTTGGAACTCGAGCACATGATTTTCCACAGCGACGTAAGTCACTGAGCTACAGGCGACGGTAGTGAACCTTCACGATTCATTCCCAGTTGCGACATAACGTGAATCATCTTAAACAGTCGTACATTTTAAACTTACAAAGGACATAGCTGGCCTGCGTGTTCGCAACCATGAGATATGAAGGGCAGCACTCGATAATGATGAGCAGTTCGACCCATTAAATAAGCAACTTTAATTTAATACGTCGCGCTAGAGAACGCGTGTGCTAAATAGGCACACTTGCTACTGACAGAGACGAGTCTTCTTCCGTTTGTTGTAAAGCTCACGGAAGATGGTTACTGATAGAACAAGCCGTAAGCCAAGAAACTGAGACATGCTCAACAGTACATCAGCCATTTGAACTGATGCTTCCATGCCGTACAACCACGGTGACCTACGGAACGAAGAACAATAAGAGAGAGAAGGGGGACCCACCGTAAAACATTAATGCCTTAAACATTCAAGGTCAAGGCGCCTATACCATGAAACAACGATATACCGTCGTGCAAAAATAAGGCGGCATCGGTAAAATGGTTTTCTTGCAGCTTCCACTGGCTCGCTCCATTATCAGCCATTACCCCGCAGATATCTCAGCACTAAACATACTTTGAACAGGCGACCCGACTAAGAGACGACAGTAGATACGCCACTGGTGCCGACTGCGGGCTGTGCCTCCTAACATCTCGAGCCAAGCTGGGGTCAAGTGGACTCCAGCCCGGAAGGCGAGAAGTATTGACGACATTCTGTAGCCGGTGACCTCATTTTCCGCAGTCAAGTCAACTTTTGTCCAACTCGAGCCTTGCGCCACCCTATATCTGGCAAACAGAACAAAGCCCCCCTCCGTAAGCCGTGACCGAGCATACATAGTAGTGCCCAAGCTGATGCAGCTTGCTATCTGTTGCTCTAAGGGAGTAGCATGATTATCACTACCTAACACTCGCCAACTTACAACGTCGTTGTGGACACGCTAGTGTCATCCGACACCAGAAATGCTTCGTAGACAACGATGATCAAAAATTTCAAGGTGCCTCAGGTCCTCACACCGAATGGGCCGAGTGTCACTCTCATAGAGTAGCACGATTCTCAGTGTGGCCTTGTAAACATGAATTTCTAGATCGGTCAGAGAGATCGCAACTTCAGAAAAGCCATTGTAGCACCGACAGTTACGCACCCATCGCTGCTAAAGCGACCGTCAAGATAAGCGAATCGATAAAATACCTCGTAATCATTATACATGTTAGCTACAGGTGAAAAACACCTCGACTATTGTGCCACAATACAAAAGAAACGAGAAATGCATGAGACAGAGGTACGCCGGTTGAGTCACCGGTGCCAGATTGACATCGTTCCGGAGAAATAACAGCCGGTTATAGTGCAGCAAAATAGAGTTACATTATAACAAATCAGACCGTGGTTGGAGGGGGAGAGACAAAGCAACTCACAACACAAACGCCAATGAGCTCGGCTCCTAGCGATGTCAACAAGTGTATCCAGCCGAACGTGTTCACCGTCCTTTGGTCCCCAACCAGGGAGCCGAGGTTCTAACCGAGGCCAACTTCGAAGTAAGGGCCTTCATTCCTCTTGATCAAGTCATCGCTTGGCCAACCCTCTTCTTCCATCCGCACAACCGGCGAGCAAACAAAGCACGTCGCGGGCTGGCATGCGCAACACGTAGCCCAGTAATCGGAGCCTGGTGCGAGATGCAACGATGCTAAGTGGTTCGCTTCTTCTTTCTGCGCCACAAGCAAGGCGTCGAACACGCTCATTGCTCACACAGTGGTCCCACCAGATATGAGCCAAACTGCGAAGGCACCGGTGGTCGAACGTAACTAGCCTCTTCAGGTCCGCAGATCTAAGGGGGCCAGGTTTCACAACCGTACGGTAGGGTCGAACATACGGCTGCATCGTATGATGTACCCTTCAGGGCGAGAGTGATGTCGCGCCCGCGCCATAGGTGGTGAAGATTAGTAAAAGCGTCTCGAGCTTTTGATATACGGTTTGTAACCCCACCTTCAATTCCAACGGCGCTGTTACAACCACTTAGGTAGTTAAACTTTTGAACGACTTCTAGCTGATCCCCGCCCCCCAAGGGTCAGTACAGGAGGCGGTCCCTGCCAATCTTGGGGGAAAGTTTTGCACTTCGAGGGCGAAAAACATAGCCCGAAACCGCTGAAAGCCAGTGCTAATTTGTCCAGTGACACTTAACAATGGTGTGGGAGATTCTCCTAGTGAACACTCCATGATGGAGTCTACGACGAAGTTGAACCAAGGTGGGGATATTACACAACCCTAGCGAACGTCAGCTGTAATCAGAGAGATCCGAAAAATCACCTATTAGTTCAGGTGGATGCGGCACGCGTCGTGATTAGCCAGATATACCGCAGGACACGGTTTGCAAACTGCACAAGTGGGAAAATTGCTGAGTCGCTCAAGTTCTCGATGTGTGTACGCTTCTGTAGCATCACTACTGAGAAGCTGCCTCGTCGAAGTGGCGCTGCTCACGCAAGATGACTAGCTAGTTGCCACTTTAAGGTGGTTGCAATGTCCGATAGGCTCAATCTTGATTGCCTTTCCTTACAGCTTTAGCGGTTCACATTATGTTCTCTAGCTCCCATTTCTTGATGATTATTTAGCTGAGTCATCTCCCAGTTCATGAAGAGACAGCATTAGATCGCTACAACAGCACATTGGTGCGCTGCTTCTGTCCATCCTGATAAGTATCAGCGAAAAATAAGGGTTTCAAAGCATGCTAACACTACGGTTTTGGGTGGTTCGGCATCAGTCATACTGTCAGTGACAGGCCTCTTTCAACATGATGTGGTCGAAGAGTTAATGAGACAACTATTACTGCTACCACCGACTTTTTGTTGTAAGGCATCAGCGCTCAACTTTGAGAATACGTGTTAAGTTTCTGCTAATTTCTTTTACCATGAGGAAGTGGTTCGGATGTTCGGCTTGTTACGTTCACGTTGCAGGCCCGAACTCCTGCTCTTGTATGCGCGTTCGTACATCTCTGCAATATCCCAACCAGCGTGTAACCGTCTGCTGTTGCATGGCAGTGTTGGGAGAATCGGGTTAACGCAGGAATGTTACGCTTACGGTTCAAAGAAGACTTGACTGGCCGATATGGAATGAACAATTCAGCCGTTTCTGATCGATCGAAGCCCGAACAAACTCACAGTGATCTCGGTCTGAGTGGTCTGCACAGTAAGCTCCATTAAAGTCAATAATATACTTGTGCCCGAACCAATTAACTTTCCTGATTCGGGGGTCGGTTTCCTGCTGCTGATACTCACTCTCAAGGGTCGTTGCAGGGCAGCGTCCTGCCGACGCAACACCAGTTAAGCATCGGTAGGTAGCACTGGCAAACCACCGAGAACATTTTTGTGAGGTGACTACTGGCAACTAGATCAAGCAAACTTAGCAGTTCGGAGTGCGGCGATTTCGCAGAGTCGGCCAACTAAGTACGTAAGTACAGGTGCCTGGTTTATTATCAAAACCAATGTACTAGCAAATACAATCAGGACTACACGATGTGCACTCACAGCGAGAGACAAGCTTCTATATTGATAAAAGTTTTGGGACACATCAATTGGTGAGTGGACCGTTTGTTTAAGTAACCATCAACCAAACGAAACACTTGGATTCCAAGGTGAGAAAAGACATCATCATCATCACACACGTTAGCTAGAGATGAAAAACCCCTCGGCTACCGTGCCATAATACATTAGAAAAGAAAAAAGAAGACAGCTGAAAGACAAACCGACCTTGTTTTCCTTAAACCGTGTGAGGTCAACTAGGCAGTATTCTTTGTATAATTTGTCCCAATATCGCTTAGCGAGGCGCTCAGACCTAAGCAAAAGAGTAAAACGAAGCGGATAGTGATCATTCCCACTGAGTGAAGTATGACAGATGAAGTATCAAGCTTTAATTTGGAAATGTATTTGCAGATTACTACAGTCAAATCTTTGAACATAAGAAAACAACAAGAATAGTGATAAATCGATACGGTGGTTAGAGTAATTTGTAATCAAAAATAGGCTGTGGTTTCACAGTTTCAGTTGCGAACGAAGAAATACAACGGCCGAAACAACTGCACTAATTCAGCTCTCATAAGGTCAGGCGTGGGAGCTCGCGGATGTTATACCGTAAAACAAAAAATATTCGCAGGTACCCTAATCGCGTGAGTCGACATTAGTAAGAAGAAACGTTGTGCAGAAACAAATGAAAAGAGCTGGTAGCCACCTTTAAGCATGTTTAGGATGTTGGTTATGATGCGTGAAACCGATGCTTCATTAACATGCAATTACCATTAATCGCGCGTGCACTAGTAGGTACTGTGAGGGCGTCCATGTGGACGCAAGCTCGAACCGGCGACCTTTAGGGTTACTATATATATATTTATATTTTGCAACAGCCTATGAATAGACATTGAGGCATCAGAAACCATGGAACACAAAAGAAGGTAGAGAAATTGTAAAAGAAAACATAACACAACACATTAAAGTCCGTGGTTTCGTCAGAGGGCGAGATACTACCCGGTTGCCCAAGCCGAAGTAGGGTGTTGACTTAGGGGACACCACTCCGAGCCCTTTGCCGAATAGCCTGCCCGCAAGGCAGCGGAGCGAATTCAGGGAATCGCGCCCATTGGGAGCCGGTGATTGATTACTCAGTTCATACGCCTTTCGTTTGTTCCTTTGTCAAATAGGGGTCCAATGCTCCCCAAAATTACAGCATAAACTTGCTGGAATACAATGTTTCGCCAGGATGAAGCAAGGGGCAGTGATTTTATTTAGTGGCGAGTCACGTCCGCCACGTCACAGTGTTGTTAAACGGACATATGTGGCTTTTTATAGGGAGAACGCTTGCCAGGTGAAAACCTACCACGTCCTGGAACACTGCCGCCGAACCATTTGCTGGAACGGGAAAATCCCGAATCACCCAGCTGGCATCACGAGGAGATTGTTCGGCAAGCCAGACGCCTTGTCCCTTTGGTTACCAGCCGATGGAGTTGAAAATAACTACTTAGAGTGTAACGACAACATGAATATTCTCGTGAATTTAGGAGTAACATGCGGACGATGGTTGACGCAAAACGCGAGTGCTGGAGCGCAGAAACGAAGGCAATATTGAAGCGCATGGGAGAAAAGTATAGCAAAGGAGCACTCACCAATCTGTGGGCTCATCTTTTTCCGACCATAGGAAACGACCGTGTTCACGGATGACGTCAATATCTCGCCGATCAGTGGATCTTCAACGCGACGGGCAGATGAAACAAGATGTGGTCATCGATAAAGGACAAACACTCACTCGTCTCGCTTGAAATCGGCCCAAGAGCCGCCGTAGTATTGCAAATAATCATTAACTAGCTTGCGATGTCTGTCGTACTATAAAGATGCGGATATTGAGGAACAACAACGCATGAGATTTGAAGTGAAAATCAAACATCTCATCAAACTTAAGCCACCCGCTTAGAGAATCATTTTGGTGCTACTTTGAAGCGTTGATGACGCAGTTGTGTGTGTGTGTGGGCTACACAAGACAACCGCGCGACTGACTTGGACTATGCTGATGATATCGCCTTGCTCGGTGAAGACCCCACAAATTATGCATATCATTCCAAACCGCTTGGTGATGGTAAGTACCAAGTATGGCATGACATTCGTCCCATCGAAATGCAGGGCCCAACTCTAGGATTGGCATCCTGGCGTGCCATAGTGCTGATTCTTGAAAGCGCGCGGCTTGAACAAGCAGATAACTTCATCTACCTTGAGAGCTGAGTTCTTTCTGATAGCACTATTGAAAGAGATTCCTCTCCGTATCGCCAAATCTCGATCAGCTTTCGCTGATCTGAGACATCTGTGACGCCGTCGTGACGTTTCACTATCGGTAAAGAACAGGGTCTACAATGTTTATGTACGCGCGGTGGTGAATTCTGACCGATCCGTGCAAATGAACTGCATAGGAGTACGGCCTTTGAAAACGATTGTCTACAGAAAATAGCTAGTGTGTGGCGGGAACACCATGTTTGCAGTGTCAATGTTAGACGTCGCGTTTTTGGTAATCCGGGCCTACCTCTTGACAAGCTAATATCGCTGCGCCAACTGAGGTGGCTAGGTCACGTCTTACGCATGCAGTGCGAGCGTTTACCACGGCGCGCTCTATTCGCTCGCGCAGGGCAGTGGAAGAAATCGCTCGGTAGCCAACAATTAACACAGTGACAAAACGTCAAGCGCTGATTTCCCGCCTGGCTTTTGTCGGCGCCGTACGTCTTCCGGGCTGGAAAGTTGGAGATGAAGATCATCGTTAGTTGGAGACTAGAGAACATGGCGCGTAATCGGGACCAAAGGAAGGGTTGCATGAGTCTACGCATTGAGGAACACTTCACGAACTATACGCGCTAACGACGGTTCTATATATGACATGCACAAGGTGATGTGATACCGAAAATCGAGAAAAAATGTGAACCCCCTGATCTCAAAACTTGAAAGACCGGAAGGACCAACAGAAGTCAGGTTAGTGACATTTGGTTAATAAGGTGCCTCTCAAAAATAGAAAGCAAAAGGCCCCAGCAACTGAACTCATCCAACTGTGGATTTATACTCAACACGTAGGTCAAAGTCACCTCTCACAGTTGGGTTTTCGAGGCAAATCGGTGTTGAACAGTGTGGCACAGATACATCTCTTCCGATGAATGTTTGTGCATAAGCACTATGAGTCACCATCTGGTTTGGTTAACAGACGGTGTCGGCGTCTGATTAGGCCACTGAATGAGAAATGCTGAAATGAGCTAGCTGACGTTCAAAGAAACAGACGGTAAAGCCGATCCTTTGAACTTAAGTAGGCTACACGCTAGATAGATCATCCTGTTCGACTTTCTATAGACCACCTATCTCGTGTATTATTCCTCTACCAATACTATGTTTGGATATGTGAAAGTTCAGAGTGAAAACCCGGTAGCATGGAAGAGATTTGGGAAAACAGTTGAAGGTCTATCCAGCGTTTCAGATTGACGCTTCGCTGCCATGTAACCACACAGGCATTTCTACGCATGCTGCAGGAGCAAGGATTCGAACACAAGGCACAAAGTTTACGAGCCAACCACCATAAAATCTGCAGATCTGCAGGATAGGCAAAAGCAGTAGTTGTTGACTCTTTCCGACATTGATCATCAGTGGTACACCGGAACCTGCCATACAAATACCAGTGGTTGCATGTGAGATTTGGTACTTCGAAGACACCCGCATCCACGCGGGTCCGCATGAGTGACCCGTGGACTAAAAGCTGGACGTCTGAACCATCTGCCAACATCTGAGTGTGACGGAGTCATGAAGCCGATGGCATCTTTGCGCTTCACTCGGTGATCTAGCAAACGCAAGATTTCATACCATTTACTTTGATGTCTTTTTGTTTAGCCATATGCTTTTCACTTTCTATGGTGGTAAGGAATCATAATTTTATGACAATGATTCACGGTGACCAGACAGATCGCACTAGAATAAGAATCGAAACGAATCCCAAACACCTGTAAGGATTTGTGTGAAGAATTGCTGGAATCCTGCGAGTTGCCGCAGCAGGTGGAACTCATAACTTCACAGAACACTAAAGGCTCTATGGATTGTATTTAACAACTGTGTGGTTGTTTGGAAATAAAATTCCGACTAGCCTGTATGATACGTGGCAAAAAAGCACTGGGGTGGTAATAACCAAGCATTATACCTGCGCAACAGACGAATGGATCGGAAGTAGAGCAGAGATGGTTACCTAACTTTTGGTCATCATTCAGTATAGGGATGGTGCAAGGGCTGAATGATTGCAAGTTTGCTCTTAATCTGAAGTACCAACAAGCAGCATTAATATATAAAAGCAAACAGCTCAAAAGATGAAGACGACATACTGCTGTCTGCAGTCCCCTCAAATATAACACATAAACGCGAGTGTACGGCCAAAACAGTCTAATAAACAACCGTTGACCTTGATCATATGTGGCAGGAAGGATACAGCATCCAAACTGAGTAGGTGAGAACGCACAGCGGCGTTGTGAGTTCTAGAAAACGCATTGCGTTGAGGTATGGAATGCGGTACCTTCTCTGTTCTTCATCAAGCACAGATTTGACATCGCCATAAGCGGGGAAACGCGGTTTCTTTGGTTTGGCTATTAACTCTGGGTCCTTTAAAGGATGCAGCTCGGAAGATCTGTTAAAAATTGACGATTTGTGCGATAAATATCAAGAGATTTGCACGCACCCAATCTCACTCCGCTCATCGAGCTGGCTACTCGTTTCGGATTCATAGTCGGAAATGTAGTCAGTGGCTTGAAAGAACTTCACAGTTTGGAGAAGCAAGTGTGTTGTTCACAAAATCTCATCAAACCTTTGGAGGGTTTCCAAAAGCCATTGCAACAGATGTTATCGAAAGTCAGAAAGGCTTCCTAAAACGAGAAGATAGGTACAGTGGGGTAACAATACCAGTGGATTTTTCATTCCTCATTAAAACACGTACAACGAAAGTGAGCAGTCGTTTGTCACAAAAATAAATGAAGGGTAATAATTGTATGTAGCGAAGCTGTTGGGTACCAGAAAAACGCAAAGTGGCCTTAGCACACACGAGCGTGTGGTCCGAAGTAAAGTATGTAATTCAGATTGATCTGCAGTTCATTATGCAGCCTCGGTGGCGATGACTGTCGGCGATATGGTTCATCCGCATTCACGACTGACGATGTGACGGACTTCAGGTGGCTCGCTGGTGCTAAGACTGTTGATAAACAGGCTGTGATCAGCACAGGGCTGAAGTATGTCAATCAATCATCAACAGCAATACATTTGCCATTTGAAATGATGCTTCGCTGCCATACAACCATGATGATCCATGAAATAAAAACTAATAAGAGGAAGAGGAAGGGGGACCTACCTGAAAACCTTAGTACCCTAAGCAAACATTCTGGGTCAATGCGCTTACACCTTGTGTAGTATGGGATCCTGCGAGTATCAAGGTCATGTTGATCGCAGAGCTAACGTACATCTACTACGGTGTTGTCGACCTATGCGTCTAAGTATTCGGTAAGCCAGCATAGCAAACAAGCTAATTTTCGATGATTCACCAACAACTTCATATAGTTAGGATAAAACAAAGCGGTAGAAATACTATGAGGAGCTTCAGTAATATATAGGTAATCCCGGCGACATTCGCTCAGGAATGATGTAGGTGAACCTGAAATCATTTTCAGAGCCTGTTTGACCTGTGGAACATGATGGGACGAATGTGGGGCATGATGGAACTATTTGGAAGATGCGCCTCGTACTATGAGGCACCTGTCACATAGGGTTTGTGAGCACATCCCGAAGTCATTTCACAGAGGTGAAGCGAGGTGTTCTAATAGCTCAAGCATCATCATCATCAATACACGTTAGCTGGAGGTAGAAAGCACCTCAGCTATCGTGTCGCAATACAAAAGAGATGAAAGGAAAACAGTGACACGTTCGTTGAGTCCCCAGTAACGGATGGACATTGCTCAGGAGAGCTAACAGCTGGCTGCCGTAAAAGAGAGTTATATTATGCATAACAAGTGAGATCGTGATTGGAGGGGGACGCTATGCACAAAGGAACTCACAACACAAACGCCATTGGGGCCGGCTCCAAGCCATATCCGCAAGTGTGTCCAACCAAACGTGTTCACCGTCCTTAGGACCCCAGCCAGGCAGTCGGGATGCACCAACCGACGCCAACTTCGAAATGAGAGTTTTCATCTCTCTCGACCAAGTCTTCACTTGGCCTCCCCTCCTCCGCTTCCAATCGCACCCACAACGCGCAAACAATGCATGTCGCGGGAGCCGGTGTGCTGGCATGCGCAACACGTGGCCCAGCCATCGGAGCCTGGTGCGTGATATAATCGTGCTGAGCGGTTCACTCGCTCTTCCTGCACCAAATACGCGACGTCAAACACGCTCATTGCTCACGCAGTGCTCTCACCAGACATGAGCTAAGCTGCGAAGGCAGCGATGATCGAACATGACGAGCCACTTTATGTCTGTCGACCTGATGGGCCAGGTTTCACAACCATATATAGGAGAGTGGAACGGACGGCTGCGTTGCAAACTCTGCCCTTCAGGGCGAGAGTAATGTCGCCTCTGTGCCACAGGTGGCGGAGATTGGCAAGAGCACCTCGAGCTTTTGGTATACGGTTCGTAACCTCATCTTCAATCCCACGGGTGCTAATATAGCTGCCCAGGTACTTGAATTCCTGAACGACTTCTAGCAGATCAACCCTGCGTTAGCGCAGGGTTGGGTTCCTGCCAATCTTGGAGAAGTACATTGCATTTCGATGGAGCAAAGCATAGCCCAAAACGATTGACAGTCAGTGCTAATCGGTCCAGTGCTGTTTGGCATGTTTGGGAGCTGTCAAGGATTAGGGCAATATCGTTCGCATACTCCAAGTCAAGAAGTCTAATAGCTCAATCACATCGCACCTACTCGAGTCCGGTCACGCAGGCTCCGAAAACGATTTTAGTTATTTACTCCATTTCCGATTGCTTGCCATGCGAATTCCAGAAATAACCAGATATTATGTGAATGTGAAAGTTAAAACGACATTGCGGTTTGTCCACGAGATCGTGGCCGCCGCACCGCAATCTGTACGGGAGATAGATGATCGCGGTAGATCAAGTCCTCATGAATCGATTGTGCGTACAAAGTGGGAAGGGGGTAATGAAAACGAGTCGACATTGCTTTGGCCACTGAAATTATGCAGCATTTAGTCAGTTTGGAGCAGACTACTACTCCCACGCAATAGGTTGAGTGGAAAGTATTTGGGATAACAGCCGAGTGAGTAGCTTCGACCAAATGTGTGACGATGACAGTTGCACAGGTTTTATTAAATGCACGACCAAGCCACTTCTGGTGATAGTATCAGACGCGTTCAGCTGAACGTCTTGTGATGCAGTCTATGTAGTTGGTCCCACAAGAACAAGTAAACTGGTACAAACAAAAGGTGGCATCCACCGATAATTTGTTCCCTAGCTGTAGAGACAACATGAATGTGTACGCGAAGAAAATCCGTAGCTATGCGGCTAATTAAGTATTACTGTATGTGTACTTCAGCTGATAAGCGATAATATTTCAAGTATGTTTACGAAGGCATTTAGAACTTCAAACCGTTTTATTGTGCTCATTCACTGACGTTTATATCAACGTGTCATTGCGTTACCCCACAACGTTCGTTTACCATCACTGTCCCAGCGTTCGGACTACAGTTCCACTTTGGCGTTAATGCTGTTACTTTCCTTACTCTCTAAGTGTCTGATTGGTTCCATAATACTTTTAACTACTTTCCTGTTTGGAATGTTTAAATTTGACCGGAAAGCGAATGTGCTCTACTGATGTTCAGTCTCTTTTCACCAACATCTCTTTGAATGAGACTGTTGATTACTTAGGTGAGTTTATATCAACACAACGTTCAACTACGGCTACCTACGGAATTGTTGAAAAATATGATTTTGTTGTGCACACGAACCTCAAGTTTTACTTTTAAGGGAAAGCTTATCGGCAGATTGATGGTGTGGCGATGGATAGCCCACTAGATCCGTTATTGGCGGATGTATCTATGGGTAGGATTGAAGAAAAAGCAGATTACATCATACGCTCAGCCACTCTATACCAGCGTTATGTTGATGACATATTGCTAATCATGGACTCCGGAGTGAACATCGCGCATGCGACGTAGACTAAACAAAATGCATCCAAACACTACGCTGACGCGTGACGATGAGCGGAAGGATTGCCTTCCGTATCTAGACGTGCTGATTTCACGACGGACAGATGGTTCCATCAGGAGGGCTGTCTACAGAAGCCAACCTGGACTAGCCAATAGTTGCAATTTACGAGTTTTTTTCTAATCCAACACAAACACTCTTAGCCAGGCGCTTTTTCATCGGGCCAACATGATTTGTACCCCCAAAAACCATAGAAGCAGAAAGGAACTTGCTACCTAACACGCCACAATCCAACGGTTATCCGTTAAAGTTTATTGAGCGCCTTATAATTCGAGTAGTCTAAAGCCGATGTTGTAGATCTAAATCTACCCCATAAGCTGCGTCGTTTGTTCATAAGGATCTTTAACTCTTGAGCAATCTAAGGAAGGCCCTTAGAAAACTGTTTCGGTTCACAGATAGGGACTACTTGACCAATGAGTGACATTACTTTTAAGTACACAAGGTCCCAGGTACTGTCAACATCTAGGTGCTCGGGAATGCTACAGTCAAAAGTACTTGCAGCAACTATCAGACAGTATGGGTCCGCACGCCATAAATTCTGACGGTATATATTACGGTCATGAATGGTGAGAGGGCGTGTCTATTCAAACGAAACCACACAATGATCACTTTTGCCATTAGGTTGTAGTACAATCAGGGAGGAGACATCTGAGCAGGTCTGAGAAAGTATGATGTCTAAAATGTGTGGACCCTGGCCTGGATACTTTCTAATGGGCGCTGCAACGTGATGGAGCAAATGACAACCAAGAATAGTTTCGAAGAGAAGTAGGCAGCAGTCTATCAAATAGCCAGAGTCAAACATAATCATGGAAATCAATAAAAGACAGGTTTAACACCGTATCCCGTCGCAATGAGACTGGACCTTAACGTGGTGCGACGGTTTGCGTACCTCACTGATCCATTGAGCTATACTCGGTGATGCCTCCGAGCATCTTGAGAGCTACTCCTACCAGGCTGGTCAATGGTGAGAGGTCAGACAAACTCAGTCTCCTGGTCCTCCAGGTTGGGGGTTTGAAATGGGATGGCGTCCATTTCTGTAAAACTAAATCACTGCCACCCCGCTGCCTTGCGGACAGGATTTTGAGCCAAAGGCTTTGGATGAGGACCCTAATCGTTCTCCTGTCTAGGTCTGGGCGCCCTGGCAGTATCCCAGCCCACATACAACCATGACATCTTCTTCAAACATAAACTTCATCCTGCATCGGCCGTCGCGCAGATTATCAAGGGTCGCCTTATCTGCTGCATACAGCAGGGCGGATAAGCGAAAGCATGCTACTGCTGGCGCCTCCCTTCTTTCTTTTCCACCTTTTTCTCTTACTCCCATCCCGACCCCCATTACTAACCTTCTATAATTCCCAGCTTAATTGATAGCAACCGAAGTGCTACCAAAGTAGTACCATCTGCAGCCACCATCCCACAGCACCTATCGGACGCCTATCGGCAAAAGTCCCTTATAAGGCCACGCTGTCCCGTTTCTATGGCGACATTCAACGTCCGCACTCTAAGACAAACAGGTCAGCAGGCTGCACTCGCACGCACCTTGGACACACTGGGTGTTGATGTGTGTTGTGTGTCCGAAACTAGGATTAACGACCCTAACGGGGTTATTGAATTGACTGCACCCGGCTTATCCTCTCGTTATTGGTTGCACGCATCCGGAGACG